CTGCTAGCAAGAAGTCTGAATTGTCCGGGACTGCTTATTGGAACAATTGCTTGTTCTTATTCGCAGCTAACCATTCTACTAATGGCCGTTCCACTATCCGCAACCTGTGGACCCGCTTGGTGACATTCAGCCTAGCCCCAAGACATAATAGAATATACTTGTAAAACTTATGAATCTTTCTTTTCTAACATGTTCCAATATAATAGATAACACATTATAATTCGTATTAGAACATCATGGTTACCCTTTAGATTTCCTTTATTATCTAACAGCAGTCATTGGCGATGGAAATAGAAATTGAATATATATTGAGGTACTATCCTGACTCCATCATCAAATGACAAGTCGGATCAACGCTCAGCACTCTTATTGTTGGAATTTTAGAGAATGGATCAGCATCCAATCAATTGCTTTATTATCCATATCATTTTAAATTTGATTCTTGTTGCTGGTTACGTAAATAACCGAGTTCAAAAATTTTCATTCATCTGCTGTAAGTATATAGTTCGAATCGCATCGTTATTCATTTTGATTTCAATAGTGAATGCAACAAGTACAACAATTTCAGGTAAATGACAAATCTCGATTGAAATCGTTTATGATTTGACTTCATTTAGTTGGAGCAATACGTTTATCAAATTCATCATCAATGACAACAACAAATCGCATATCATCTATTATCCGCTGGTTATAATCTTCAATGGATATCGATGATCTTTTGATCAATTCTCATTCTCGCTTTTTCTTTTCTTCTATCAATAAATTGTCCTTCACACTGTTTCGTGTTCTCGAACTCCATGAAAATTCCACATCATAGTCACGACCTGGAGATGTCCATAGCAGATTCTGAAACAACGGATTGGTTTGTTTAGAGACAATAGCTTCACTTTAAAACGCGAAGCAAATTTTCAAACGAGACAACATTGACAATGATTAAAAAGAATGTATAACGAAGGAAAATATTCATCATACAGGAGAATATCTTGAACATGATCACCATTAAAATCTCCAAGAGTAAGAAACGGTTGAAGTATATTGTTCGGCGTAGAAAATATTGTTTGAACTTGAAATTGTCCGTGTCCATTGCCGATAAGCACGTTCGAACCAAACGGATCAGTTTGACCAACGATTATATCCGAATGTCGATCACAATTGAGATCGAATACCGATACAAAAGAACTCTCCACATTTGATTGAAAGCTAAATGTGTTTCCCGAGCTAAATGTTCCATTCTCATATCCAAACATAATTCCAATCATTTGATTGGCCGTGTAGGAGAGAACAACGTCAATGAATGAATCATCATTGAGTTGACCAACGGCGATGTGAACTGGATATGTTGCGAAACCTCCACCAGCGAACGAAATCATTTGTTCATTGAAATTTCCTTCGCCATTCGCAAGAAATACACCAATACTTTTATCCTTATTATTAACAACTATAATATCGAGATGTGCATCTTCATTGATGTCAACAACTGCAAGTGCGATCGGACAACTAATCCGTCCGGTGTCAAGTTTGATCTTCAATGAAAAATTACCATTTCCAATTGCATAGAATATCGCAACGTTATGTTGCCAGTAATTAACAACAGCAATATCCGCATAATCGTCGATATTAAAATCGACTGCAACGATATCTCTTGGACTACTGTTGTTCCCTGTAGAGAATAGATTCAATGTTCGAAAAGTCCCATCACCATTGCCGAGCAAAATACCCACTTGATCTGCATTGATATCGATAAAAGCAATGTCAAGTTGATTACCTTGATCAAAATCGCTCAAGACAATCTTGTCTACCCACGTTGCAGTGTTCAGATTAGAAACGATCATTGGCCCAAATGTTCCATTGTTATAACCAAATCTCACGTTCATAGTGCGAGTTACTGCAGAAAAATATATAAGGTCGAGTCGATTATCATGATTGAAATCGTCAACGGTGGATATTTTTATGTAATCATAAACAGATAAATATAAACTTATTGGCTGAAATTCTAATTGGCAAGTTGCGACTATCGAAGAAAAATTATTTTCAAATGGTTTTAGACGGAGAAAATCCTACAGTATGGACTTATACTTGTGCTCATTGTCGCCCGAGTCATATTCATCGTTGCACTTGTCATCGCTTTGGTTGCTTGAATTGTTGGAGGGACCGAAAAGACATATGTCGAATCATCATCTACGTTCTCCATCTTATTACCTGTCGAGTCAAACTGATTCTTATTAGAACGAATAGTAAAGACAGAAAATATCATCAAAGAAATCAATATAATTATGATCAAAATCAAAATGAAACCAAGTTTGAAAGAACTTTGTATCGGTACGTTTGTATTTGTTCTAATTAAAGAACGTCAATGAATGACATCAAATGTAAAGAAACATACCGAGCAACTTCGATATTTGATGATAAATTCTTATTATGATCTGACCGAGTCGACATGATTTGAAACGAATGAACAACGTTGTTTCGTTTTTTCCTTGACCCAAACATCTGAATCAGCTTCGGGCAAATCCATTTGAGAACGATTGTTAAACCGCCTTGAAAGCCAAGTACCAGAGTTATCGTATAGAGTATATTGATTTGTTGAATGTAATTGTACGAACATGACGAAGGTGAACATTGTTGATAATACAGCGAATAGTTCGGCACTACGAACCTTTTTTCAATAAATAAATTGCTGATGAGTTCATCAATAGTTGCATTAATTAAAAATCGACTTTGATTTAGGGGAAGAGGATTGATCTGATTTGTAGAGTTTGTGTAACATTTAATGAGGTTATAAGACATGTTTGATCGTAAAAACATTCGAGAGTTGAGAAACGAAATGATTCGGTCAAAAAACAACCGATTTTCAGCCCTTTGACCGGAACTGTTGTCGATGAGTTCACTTCGATGAAATTCGCTTGACTTGTACAATTCAAGTAAAGCGAACAAGAACAATTGTCATCGTAAACTACCGATTTTGCGGAGGCATAGGTTGTCGTTCTATCATTCAGTGGAAAATCATAATGAAAATTCGTCCCTTAAGTCGATACGATAGCGTTGCCATGATTAATCTTTCGAATTAAAGATAGAAGAGTGAGAAATATCGTTGGAGCAGTGGATATACTATTTTCAATTCTTAAATAGATACTATCGTTGAAATGTTTTTCGAATAGGAGTTGATTAGTAACGAACGAGGAGGGAAGAAATTGTTCAATGGTATTGTTTACTGATTGATCGCTAAGTCGACATAATCCTTGAAGGTACTGCAGATGCGAAGGAAGGAAGCGACGATAGTCATTGAGAGAATAGATTGATAAATTTGGTTCTAATCTAATTGTAAGATTAGTTCGCCATTCGTCCATAACAAATGTACTTGAACAAATCTGTTTTCAATTCGAAAATATTTATTGAAAATCTTTGAAGAAAACATTTCTTCTTACCTGATGAAATGATGATTCGATAGATACAAATTGATCATACGTTGTCGCTATTGATGAACAGGAACATTCCAATTGATCTTTATATTTTCCGTACAGATCTCTATACTTATCAAACGATGGTTTATCGAATGTTCTCGTACCAATATAGGGTTGAGTCACGTTATACGACGTGAAAATAGCAATACCGATCAGAAATAAAACAATATACAGACGAGTTGCCATTTGACCGAGACGCTTAGCTGTTATGCGATCAAGATGAGATCGAAAATCTCGTATAGAGAAGATATTTAAATTTTTCAAAGTATTATATACTAAGATGCTCAGATTCTACATGAATAATGTCAGCCGAGCAATGCCACATTGACGCACTAAATACATCATAGAAGTGAAATACAATAGTGATAAATTATCGCAAATGAAAATAGCAGAACTATAGTTCAATAAGTGACAATCGAAGATGAATGGATTCACCTTCATAGCTCTGTCGTGTTCAGAGAAGATTACCTGTGTTTGCCTGTTGTTCTGCTTGTCTATTTGTATTTCTTGTGATGACATTGATGACGAATTTGACAAGATATGGTGTGGCAAAACGTAACGTGAATGAAAGACCACTCGTCATCGAGATTAATATTCTAATTACTTCGAGAAGAGTATTCGCATGAAGTCTCTCCGAGTAAGTACAATATTTTGGTGAACATGATTCATAGAAATTTTCGTATGAAAATTGTAAATTCCATTCTTCAACCATTAATTTTTTCACAATAATCGAAATTGGTGTGTTCGGAGGATAGTTGCTCAACTGAGAATTATAAACAAGCGGTTGAACATCAAACCATAACGAAGTTTCCACATTATAAATGTAGACTTGTTTAATATACTTCATTAGAATTGTAAAACAATCGGAATCTTCATAGAAACATTCGAGTGTCGATAATAAAAGAGATTCCGTAGTCGAGCAGCCAGTAAATGATCCCGGAACAACATAAACAATATCAAACTCGGAACCATAGACATTAACATCATCAGCAGCATAAATCGCAAGTGCACTTTTACAATTGGGATTAGTTGCACAAATGCAATCCGTTGCTGTTAAGTTCGTATTATGAACTCCAATCAGTAACATAATTAACTGAAAAATTCAACGACAAAAAAAACTAATCATTGAACAAAGTTTGAATGGAACAAACCTGCAACATCTGTTGATTCTCTAGTTCATCGATTGAAAAAGTCTTAGCTATAGTCGATCCTAATCCAATATCGCCTTGTTTGGAGCCTATTAGAGGTTGATCAATTTGCATAAGAAGACGCACTGTCTCGACAAGAAGACCAAAATAAGAAATAGTCGGTAGGAAAAGTTCATTAACTGTTGAATTGATCTGTGATTGAAAGTTATTTTCAGATAAGACACTTGAAGTTACAAAGTATTGAGAAAGAAAGCGACGAATGGCATCATTGATCGTTCCATTGGCTGATTGACACAGGTTTGCTAACAACTGAACTTGCGAAAAGGCTTGATTTCGCCAATCTACCGATATATCATACAAAATACTCTGACTTAAGATGGAAAGCCAACGATCGGTGACGAAATCGCTCGAACATACCGGATGTAAAACAGGAGAAAATGAAATAAATTTATCATAAGAAATGACCATCGATGAACAAGGACAGTCAAGTGTTGTCGAATAGAAATACTGTAACTGTTGGTAAATATCCCACGATGGAGATTGTTTTATCATTGTTATGGTTTGTGTGTGTAATGAATTAAAGAGCATAAGAGTAAGAATTGATCCTAAATAAAGAAAATTCACATGTGATTGTAGACATGCTCTATACATCGCGAAATGACATACCAAACATTAATATTAAATAAACCTTAGTCACTAGTTTTTGTCGTTTGATTCCATTCTCCATTCGATCATCGACGTTTTTGAATAGATTTAGTTGTTTGACCGACTCAATCAATCTTTTCACAGAAACTAAAAAGAATGTATCAGAGAATTTGTATTCTGTTTGCAAAATAATATACTTAAGTTCCAAGTATGATAATTCAGAATAAGATTGATAATAAACAACGCGATTAATCTTAGTATGATAACAAGGCCACCGTAGAGACTGATGAACAGAGTGATTGAATAATGGAAATCCAAACGACGTGTTTTCGTATAGACACAATAATGAGGAGCGCATTCATTGAAATATTTCGAATAGTTGATTGTTGTGATTTGTTTCTCGATAAGGAGATCAGATAAATAATTGTACATCGAGAGATTTTTGTTCGTTTCCAAAAGCAAATTTGTCCAATTGAAAGCGATCTATCAACAAAAAGACGATCTTTTAGTAACACTAAACTGATCAATGAATTATACTTGATGGAGATTTGGAAAATAATTCAATAATAAATCAATACAACTAATGTCATATAAACAGTCCAATGTGCTTCGAAGAAGACCTTCGAGTGGTGTACATCCTGCAAAGAATCCCTTGACCAAGGTCGAGTTCGAATTCGGTGGTGTCCATATCAAACGATAAGAGTCTAAACCAGTTGGAAACACAAGGAAACCTGTGGTTGTAAATGGATTTGCATTCGCACATGAAACATATTCATAATTGATTGTATTCTTATCGTAATAATCATTAGTGTAAATAGTTGGAATTAAATAGGCTTCGTATTCTGAACCGATAGTGTTGACCGCAACAACTATATTGGTATTAAGAGCTGAAACGAAGAAATTTGTCTGACTGGTGATTTTGACATAACTTAAGAATGAATTGATTCGATTGGATAAACTGTTGTAAAAAGATTCAACCGTCGCATTGACTTTCGATTGAATTTCGATATTAGATTGAAGATTGATGCTGACAAATTCAGTATTATCCAGATCAATTTCATTTTGAAGAGTTGTATTCTGCATGAAAGAACAAATGTTCGCCAACAGTTGAAACTAAACCGAAACAAATCAAATTGTTGTTTTGATATTCGATCATTTACTTGCGAACTGGCCGTTGTTCGAAAATCTGCCGTTCCGAACAAACTTGCATTGGCAAACGCTGAAAGTTGAATCCATTGTTCGGTTACAAATATGCTTGAACACACCGGATGAAATGTATTTGTGTTATTCACGAAAGTTTTGTACGGAATTGTGATCGTTGAACATGGACAAGTAAGTTTCTCATAATGTTTTGAGTAAAGTTCATCAAAGATGATAGGCGTTACATTATGAATGAATATTGTTTCAGATTGTTCTCGCATTAAACCAGCGTAGAAAAGAATGTAGATTGAAGCTAGAAGATAGTCGATAGGAAGTTCTATTTTCTGGAATGTAGAACAAATGAGAATACGAAATGCACGTACTCGCGAGAAGAAGAACATAGAACCAAGTCGTGTATTTCTGCTGTCGAACAGAATCCTGTGACTCGTTGTTGTATTCATTTTCATCGGGTAGAAAAATATTATAATTGGATAGATGATTGAACAACCATCCGAATGCGAATTTCAAATTCATCTGAAGTTCTGTATAGACGAGTTTTTTTTATGCAATTACACCGTTCGTTGGAATTGCGGTAGCGAGAGTATCAAAGGTTTGAATGTTTCGTGAAAATGTAAGCAAGTTTCTTTGAGTAAAATCTTTGTGACAACAGTGCATGATTTGATTTCTGCTTGATTACATTTCAATTTAGAGAGAAAGGAAAAGTTTATTTCACTGAAAACTAATGAGAAAAAAAACTGCCCAGAAAAGATAATTAACGTCTCTCAGACATCCTTATCAACAAATGGTTATTCACATTATAACATTTTTTGAATGTAAATTATAATTATTTATTGTATTTCTCCAGAAAATTCAACGTTTATCCACATCGTCAAGATCGCATGATTTTGATAAAGACTTGAAGAGGCCCTCCAATTCCAACTGCCAAATCCATCTTTTTGTCATTATTGAAATCGCCGGATATGATCAACATTGAAGACTTGGCAAAAGTGTAGTTGGTTTGAGACCGAAAAGTTCCATCTCCATTGCCTAACAAAAAAAAGCTTAATGTTTGATCCAGCTGTAGAGCTATTTTGAGTAGAAAACCGTCCATATCCGGTACTTAATACTAAAGTTAGAATATTGAGAAATGATGAACCAGTAGCTATCATATCCAATATTTGATCATTGTTAAAATCACCTGACACGAAATACTTTTGGACACCCCTAAGTAATTCAAACAGTGATGAGTTCGGTTATTTTCTTCAGTTTATCGGAAACCAATGAACTCATTTATGGTATATTCGACCGATTTCATGATATAATCAGAAGTTTTCGGTCGTGAAATATATCTGTTCAAGTCATAAATATAGGATTGGATTAAAAAACACACGAACATGAGAAGAAACTAATCATCGTAGACATTTATTCAAAAATCACATCGGTGTTTCGATAGTTTTCGAATCGAGTACTGTAATGTTATATATAATCTGCTTATAGTTCGTGATTTTATTGCATTATCGTGTGATAAGTTCGGTTCTATAAATCAAATACAATCGTGTCATGGGAAATAAAAAACTATCCCATGTTTTTGAAAGGTCTATTTCTAATCATCAATCATATTCATAACTTTTAAAGGTCGATACGATATTTTCATTACAAAATTGACCTATGCCTTCTCAATATTCTCAACTGATAAGACATTCTTCATCTCATCTCTTTTCTCTTTCATTCTTTCATTTTGCTCTTTGTTGAATACTGTTTTATTATGGCTGTATCATTGAATTACCGATCTATTTCAATAAGCAGAATACAAGATCTTCTCTCGGATAAAGATCGAGAGCGGTTGTGCTTTCTTCTCGGAGAAAGTACCCCGCAAATTATGCCCGAGAACTGTTCAATTGGTGAAACTTTTCGTGTGCTTGAGTCGTTTCTCGAAAAGGGGATCATCAGCAACCAAGATTACGATGCTCTCATCCAAGCATTTACGAATATTCACTGTTATGACGCTGTGAAACAAGTAGAAGGTAAGTTTCTTCTCGTTCATTTCTAGATTACTGTTTCAGAATTCGATTCGTTACAGTCTATCGAACAGATCAGGCATGCAAAAATCAACGATCTGTCTCGATACAAGAGATCCTATCACAGGGCAATGCAGAAGCTAAGATTGATCACAATAGTCCGTGCCGATATTACACAATCCTTTTCCTACGAACAGAGATTGTTTTTTTTTGTAGTAACCATCTGTGATCTATCGGAGTCGGTGAAAACTAAAAAGCCAGAAAAGATTATTCAATCTCGATGCAAAAATCTGGCGTTTAATGGGTCACGAAACATTCGTCAACGAATTCTAATTGGTTTTATTGTTCTAGGTGTAATGAGTCTCCCATTCGTGATTGTTCTATCAAAGAAGTATATTGAACGAACTTCAAAAATCAAACAAGGTGATTCTCGCCCGTTTTCTGACGACATTTAGTAATCTGACAGTTTGTTTATGACACAGATCGATCACAGACAGTGAAAGAGATGGGTGCGAATGTAGTGATGTGGTAGTAGAGAGAGAGGCGACTCACTCGTCCAAAATGTGTATTCGAATTTCCAACATAACAGTGATGAATGTTCATAGCGCAGTTGCTGGTTTCCGAACAGTATGTGCTCCCTTTATTAGATCCCAATCTAATATTCTTAGCATTTCAGATCAACCTAAGTAACACACGCAATGCATGATGTGTATCCCTTATTAAACAACAATCGAGAAAAGCAGCTCTTTTAAACATCAATCTAGCATGAATGATTGAGACTCATTTAGTCACGGTTAACTCCACCGGTTCCTAGAATATCATACTTTCCATAACTAATCCTACAGCCCTCGACATGCATCGAGCATATATCAATTCCATATCATTTTAAACCACTAATTACTCCCAACGATAATCTTCTATCTCTATTTTTTTAACTTCGTTTTCAACTCTTTACCGAAATTTAGCAACTAAATTGATCAACATCGGATGGAAGCACTATACGGCGGCAGAATACTCAAAAGCCCTTCAAAACTATGATGCAGCTCTCTCAATTCGAATGCAAATCTTGCCTCACTCTGATCCAAATTTCGCAACCGCCCACAACTACATCGGTTTAGTCTACAACCGTTTAGGAAAGCACTCAACCGCTCTCGAATATCACCAGAAGGCACTTGCAATACTCGAGAAAACCTTTCCAGTGCTTCATTCACTCTTAGCCATGACCTACAACTACATCGGTTCCGATTATTCTGAGATGGGTGACCACTCCAGGGCACTTGAAAACCACGAAAAGGCGCTTGCCATTGAAGAGAAATTTCTTCCAGATTCACATCCCGATTTAGCAACCAGCTACAACTACTTAGGTTTGGTTTACTTAAGTATGGGTGACCACTCAAGAGCTCTTGAAAATCACAAGAAGGCTCTTGCTATTCGGCAGAAGACTCTTCCTCCGTCTCATCCAGATGTAGCCACCACCTACAACAACATAGCTGCGGTTTATCATGACATGGGTGACCACTCAAGAGCACTTGAATACTACGAAAAGGCGTTTGCTATTTTGGAGAAAACTCTGTCTCCGTCTCATCCACGTTTAGCCGGCAGTTACAACAACATAGCTGCGGTTTACTTTAGCATGGATGACTACGCCAGAGCTCTTGAAAACCACAAGAAGGCCCTTACTATTCGGCAGAAATCTCTTCCTGCATTTCATCCAGATTTAGCGATCAGTTACAACAACATAGCTGCGGTTTACGGTGACATGGGTAACCACTCAAAAGCACTTGAATATTACGAAAAGGCGCTTGGTATTTGGCAAAAAACTCTTCCTGAATTTCATCCACATTTAGCCGCCAGTTACAACAACATAGCTTCGGTTTACTCTAGCATGGGTGACTACTCAAGAGCACTTAAAAACCACCAGAAGGCTCTCGGTATTCAGCACAAAACTCTGCCTCCGTCTCATCCAGATTTAGCGGTCAGTTACAACAATATAGCTGCGGTTTATCGTCACATGGGTGACCACTCAAGAGCAATTGAAAATCACCAGAAGGCCTTTGCTATTCGGCAGAAATCTCTTCCTGCATTTCATCCAGATTTAGCGATCAGTTACACCAACATAGCTGCGGTCTATGGTGACATGGGTGACCACTCAAGAGCTCTTGAAAATCACAAGAAGGCCCTTGCTATTGAAGAGAAAATTCTTCCTGCATTTCATCCAGATTTAGCCACCACCTACAACAACATAGCTTCCGTTTATCATGACATGGGTGACCACTCAAGAGCACTTGAATATTACGAAAAGGCCCTTGCTATTCGGCAGAAATCTCTTCCTGCATTTCATCCAGAGTTAGCCGTCACTTACAACAACATGGCTTTGGTTTACTCTAGCATGGGTGACCGCTCAAGAGCCCTGGAATACTACGAAACAGCGTTTGCTATCTTGCAGAAAACTCTTCCTGCATTTCATCCACATTTAGCCGGCAGTTACAACAACATAGCTGCGGTTTACGGTGACATGGGTAACCACTCAAAAGCACTTGAATATTACGAAAAGGCGTTTGCTATTTTGGAGAAAACTCTGCCCCCGTCTCATCCACATTTAGCCGCCAGTTACAACAACATGGGTCTGCTTTACTGTAGCATAGGTGACTACTCAAGAGCACTTGAAAATCACCAGAAGGCCTTTGCTATACGGCAGAAATCTCTTCCTGCATTTCATCCAGATTTAGCCACTACCTACAACAACATAGCTTCGGTTTATCATCATATGGGTGACCAGTCAAGAGCTCTTGAAAATCACAAGAAGGCCCTTGGTATTCGGGAGAGATCTCTTCCTGCATTTCATCCAGATTTAGCCACTAGTTACAACAACATAGCTGCGGTTTACTCTAGTATGAGTGAGCACTCAAGAGCACTTGAAAACCACCAGAAGGCTCTCGATATTCAGCACAAAACTCTGCCTCCGTCTCATCCACATTTAGCCGGCAGTTACAACAACATAGGTCTGGTTTACTCTAGCACAGGTGACCACTCAAGAGCACTTGAATACTGCGAAAAGGCGTTTGCTATTTTACAGAAAACTCTGCCTACGTCTCATCCGACTTTAGCCACCAGTTACTACAACATAGCTTCGGTTTATCATCATATGGGTGATCGGTCGAGAGCACTTGAAAACTACCAAAAGGCACTCGGTACTTGGCAAAAAACGTTGTCATCGTCTCATCCAAATTTAGTTAGAGTGTACAATAACATTGGTTTTTTGTATTTCAAGATGGGGAAGAAGTCCAATGCGCTCGAAAACTATGCGAAAGCAGTTAAAATTGAAGAGAAAAGTGTATCGCCGAATTATGGAAGTTTAGCCAAAATGTATAACAATATGCGTGTAGTGTACGAAAGTTTGGGGGAAGAAGCATCTGCCCATGAATATCAGAAAAAGGCGCTTGAAATGGAACAGAAGTCTAATCTGGTGAAAGCTTAAACGCAGCAATTCGATGTCATAACTATCTGCTAGTGGACGGAAGTCGCGGTTACGGTTGACTGTGTTGTAATTTTTTATTTAGTGTAATGAACATGGTATCGGAACATATTTGAGAACACAGTGATCTAGACTAGATGGAAAAAATGGTAGTTGGTTTAATGAGTGATAGTACAAAAATTTGTTTGGTTGGAGTAGACCGTCCTCTTTACACGGTATCTTGCTGAATGTGGATGTAAAGATTGAATTTCGACATATCGACTGTTTTTTGGATCATACCGTTTACAGATGAATGAAAATAATGGTACACACATAGAACTGCACATGTTTGTAATTGTTCTGAAAGCCTTAGCTACGCTGTTGATTCACTTGTGCATTATAGCTGTTCTGTGGTACTGCAATAAATATCAAGGTTGTAATATCTATGAAGCTACAAAAAAGATTTTTGTTCAAATGATCTGTCACATAATCACTGTCTGTGTCCTGTGATCTGAAAGATAAACGATTTGATTTTACGGAAAATTATATTTTGACACAATATGTTTCGTTTAAATCAAACTAACTACATCGGCTAGGAGCTCTTCGATTTTTATATTATAATGTTGTTTAATTCGATGTAAAAGTGATCGTTCATCAATGGTAATGAAATTGATTGCCAAGCCGTTTCGACCGAATCGACCCCTGCGTCCAACACTTCATTGAAAACAAAGTTTGTCGTTTTCTTAAGTAGAATTGCTGCTTACCGATGAACATATTTATCACAATTACTCGAAAGATCATAGTTAATAATAGGACTAACTTGTGGAATGTCAGTATCGTCTTCAGGCCTATCTGTTCGTAATAAAATCCGACTGACACCTGTACAGAACTCCCTTATGCTGTTGTCACGGTGCGTCGCATTCATATTGAAGTGCTACAAAAACAAAGAGAAAGGTCACTGATTCCTTCGAAGTAACCATTTTCAAACTGACCAGAATGGATACGGTTAACTGGTGTATACGTAGCTTCTCACTTAGTCATTCGATTTGTTCGCATGTGTTACAATAAAATAACGCTCGTCGAGGGAGACTCGCATTACCCTCGACTGATTGGGTTATACTTCAAATAAAACTTGCGCTTCCAAATGATGTCTCGAGAACGGTCCTCGTCAATTTCAACCTTTTTCAAAACTAACCAAAGAACTTTCATCGTTCTTGTCATTTATCTAACATCCTAAACAATAAAGTGGTGCAGAAATCTTCGGTCGCGCTAACGCATCATACCGTATACGTGTTCTACCTTTCCTAATAAAATGAAGAGTTAAGTGAAGAAAGATGAGTGTTCATGTAAATTTCAAATCCAAAGGTGTCAGAATGTTTCTAAGTGTGAACTAGAGACGTTGTCATATCAAAATCTCGTTCATTTAGTCTACGATAATTACTTTCCTTCTCTGTATTATTATACTTGAGTGTGAGACACATCCTCTTCTGATGTCCAATTTGCGATTCGGTACACTAGCAAAAACGAATACTAACAATAATTTATGCAAGATTCTTCGCTGTCTGTTTTCTATAGTCGCACCAACAGAAGCAAAAATATCAGAATTGTATTTTGGGCTTGTGTTTCGAAGGAAATTCTCCTACTATCACAAATACAAGTTACATTACATTCTGAGAATGAATCTTTCAGTTTCGATGTATGATACATTTCCTTGCACATTTGGAGTTATGAAAAACTTTTACCTAATCTTTGTTNTACGTGTTCTACCTTTCCTAATAAAATGAAGAGTTAAGTGAAGAAAGATGAGTGTTCATGTAAATTTCAAATCCAAAGGTGTCAGAATGTTTCTAAGTGTGAACTAGAGACGTTGTCATATCAAAATCTCGTTCGTTTAGTCTACGATCACTACTTTTCTTCTCTGCATTATTATACTTGAGTGTGAGACACATCCTCTTCTGATGTCCAATTTGTGATTCGGTACACTAGCAAAAACGAATACTAACAATAATTTATACAAGATTCTTCGCTGTCTGTTTTCTATAGTCACATCAACAGAAGCAAAAAAATCAGAATTGTATTTTGGACTTGTATTTCGAAGGAAATTCTCCTACTATCACAAATACAAGTTACATTACATTCTGAGAATGAATCCTTCAGTTTCGATGTATGATACATTTCCTTGCACATTCGGAGTTATGAAAAACTTTTACCTAATCTTTGTTCCACTCATAATGAAATTCTCTTATGGGCCGTTGACCTCAGGGCACAACGTACGTTTAACATCGACCCTATCTCACATGTCCTCACCCTCTCAACCAACTTTCAGTGTCAAAACACCCTCCCAAACCGTGTTTTATGAAGTTTTGAGCGTTTTTGGGAAAAATGTTTTTTTGACATTTGACCTTTGACCTGCGACAGACACACACACGCAAACGAATTTCCGATTTTTGACCACTTTTTTTCGACATGACCCTCCTTTCAGTCGAGGGAATAAACAGAAAAGGACAGATAACTAACACTGTGTATGCCTCGACGAGAAAATAGGCATTTCTGAATTAGATTATAGGGCTTGTGCAATTTATTTTTATGTTTTAATGTGAAAACAATCATTTGAAATAATAAGCGTGTGAAGGTGTGACAGTGATCGAAGCTTCATAATCAATGGAAAACTCAAACCCATACAATCTTTCGTTAATAAAAAAACGCAAGAGTTTTTTTAATCAAATTTAATCATTCACTTCTTTCTTTTTGTTATTTCTATGATTTTTCGACTGAGCCGTACGTATTTGCACTGACTGGTTGCACCACAACTGTTCCTAGAACCATAAAATATATAATATACAGAAGACATGTTCACAAGTGTATATACTTTCAGAAGAAGCTAAACGAAATTTAAGTTCGCGTGCCTCTTGACAAACAGCACATCGACGACAAAATGTTGTTGCTAAACAATCATTACAATCATTGTCTTCTGCAATATCAAACCGTTCACGTAATGCTTTTCGTTTCGGTATATGTGGTAAGCAACATAAATAAAATCTTGTTATCAGAAAATACAACAAACATGATCTGCAACGATCACTCCCATCGATTAATTCAGCATTGGCTCCAAATAAAAATGATGGACCAAGACAACCACGAAGACAAATGTCACCATCATTACGACAGTCGAAAAGTCCGCCTAAAAATGATTATTTAAATCATTTTAATTGATATATAGACTTACTACTCCAGTTATTCATGGAACGATGTTCCTGAATTCAACAAAAGTATGTGTACACTTGCATCACTACTTTGATAACTACAGCTCCTTACGTCAGCACACGATAAGAATTTTTCATGACGCACGTTATTTTAACCATCAAAGATATGTAGCATTAGATAACACTATAAGAGCGTTAACATATTTACTTGTTTTTCAACAAAGAATGAATTGATAGATTAAAACTCATTTCGGGCTGATTAAATTGAATAGAAGCCTATACAGCTAAAGATCTTAGTTTCGATCGATTATAATCAAAAGAATTCGATAGTTTTCCTTAACGAAAATCGTTGTCCTGCTAAACTAAAATCATGACAATCAAATGCTAGGATTGTTGCATCAGAAAAATTAGTTTGATGAATAAAAATTAAAGATGATTTTTCTGTTGGTATTATATCGTATGGAATTTTTTTCAAGATATTTTGATATACTTTCAGTTATGTTTGATTCATCTGAAAAAATAGTTTTTATTCTTTTTTACAATTGATAAAATGTCCGTTTAATTCACCATTTTAAGATTACTCAAGATTAGGAATATCATAATCATAAATTAATAAAACACGAACATAAACATGGGCCATAAGAATATCAGCTAATGAAAGACGATCATTGTCGGCTGAATTTGTCGCCATTTTTCTTGCTTTTTGCAGTGAAATAAAATTGTTTTTGTTCTTTATATGATCATGACGACTCATCATTTTATTGCCACATCACTACTTGAGTATATCACGATGAAATAATCTTTTTTCAAAAGAAGACAAGGATTTAGAAGAACCACGAGTGTGTGAGTCATTCGTATGTTCAAGAAAAACATGTTGTTTTCAATTCTTTCATATTCATTTGTAAAATTTGGCCGATATTTTTTCTTTTTCCTTTCGTGTAAAGAACATTTTTTTCTCTCTTCGACATATTTAAAGACAAATTTTTTCTTTCTTTAACTTGTGTAGAAAATATGAATGGTGAAAAGTTGCGTCTTGTTTGGTTTGATAAAAATGGAAATGATTCAAGAGAAAATATAAATATCGAAGGACAACTTCGTAATTGCATAAAATATTTTAAAATGTTCAAATATAATAAAGCTTATGAACTTTATATCCAATTCTTATCTGAAATTGATCAAATTATTTTGACGATTGTCAATAATTATTTAGGTCAAATAATAATACCAAATTTACGTGAATTACAACAAATCTCATCAATCTATATTAACTATTCAAATAAAACAATCGAAAATGAAAAATGGATTGAAAATTTTTCAAAGATAAAAGTTTTAAACGCCTGAGATTGAGGAATTCGAATCAGAGCGTTAATTTGATGTTTTTTTCCTCTACTGAAACGAGGGTATACAAAGAATTTGAGCTAAAGTTCGTTCGTCCGTTCACGTACTTTACACTAACGAAAAAGCAATCTATATCTCTGACTAAGAAGGGCTGACCAAAGGGTAATCGAGGTCGAGGAACTCGAATCCGAGGTTAGTTTCTCGAAATTTCAATTACTTCATTAGCTAATTAGTTAATTAAGCAATAAAATTTTTTTCTTCCACTTTATACAGTTTAGCATTTATAAAAACACGAAATAAAAAATATCGAGTAGAACGTTTATGTCGTATAAAAGTTTTTTTTTTCTTTCGTAAGGCAAAGAACGAAAGGTAAACTCAACATTATAACATGTGCCATGATAAAAACAACCATTTTGTGAATAACATTAACCCACTCGCTCCTCATTATATTATGTGCGACATAACACGGTCGATTTACTTACGTAAATAAGCATTACTTGAAAAAAAAAGTAATTTTATTGCACGTACATACAAGAGACAGCTTGTTTCGAAGATTCATAAAAACAATTTCAACATACATCATTGTTATTTTTCGTCGTAAATATAGGTAATTATTTATATATTTATTTTTTATATGTTATGCGACATTTCAGACACAAGATTTTGATACAGAATTCAAACTGTATATTATCACTGGAAATATCGTTTCTATATTCCTTTACAATGAGAGATGGGCTAGTCAAGTCCAGTCTAACATCGAATAACATGAGTCTTTTTTTATTGTGGTACTTATTTTAATTATTGTGAAACGTTGCCGGATATTCATTTTTATTTGATCTTTCCGATAGTGAACTGCGTGATCAGTTTTTCATGACTGATCGTAACTATGATTTAGCACAACAAATGATCGGTAGTTTTTTTATTTTATATCGTTCATTGTATCCTTATTTTCCTAGTGTGATTTTGAAAAATTTTTATATTGGTCATGAAAAACTGATCACGCAGTTCAATACTTACAGTAACAAAAATCGTTATAATATCTGATTTATTTTTTGATTTGCTCATATCTGTTTATAATGCATACATCAAACATTAATTACAGTTTTCTCCTGTAAAAAATATATATATATCTTACGATCGCGGTATAAGAAACAGAAGAAACTTTCTTTTTGTTTCATCTACAGAAAGGCATTTTCAAAATGAAAGTTGATCAGTATTGCTTTGTAGGCTCGAGAAAAAGAGTTTGGTTTACACTAACACGAGTATGATATAGGTAATTAATATAATGCTTATGAAAAGGCAGATGTACAAATAAAATTAACATACTTTAATCAATAGTCGAGATCAAAACAATCCACCCTAAGAAAAAAATCTATGGTTTTGAAATAAATCTTCTCCTAGCGGAAAATGTTCAGCGAATCTCTTGAAATTACTTTACTTGTACTATGGACTGATTGATATGTTTGCAAGGTTGGACAAAGTATCGGATTTATTGGTCTGGCCAATGTATATAAAACTATATCCAAGGTCGACCAGTTCTATGTTGGATTCAATTGGAATTCGACGATCCGACAACACGGATTACTTTTCAACTTTTTGTACAAGTAACGCGGCGCTGTTGCCGCTGACCCTCTGCTGAAAGAAAATTATAAGATCTCTCATACTGCTCAAACGAAAGAAATAAGATTTACGCCATTTGAATGATCCAATCATTTGATAATTTGTCTCAATTTTTTACTCATACTCATTTTGTTTCCTAAACTCTTATCAGGCTAACGTCCAGTCGTTCGTCGGCCTTCCTCCGGTCGGCCACTCACGGCTAGCCGTTCCCATAACTGTCTCCGTTATACCTTTCACTTTTGATTAACCTTCAAAGTGAATAACTACGTTCCTTTTCATTGTTGCTTCCGAATTGGCGATCCTCCACTCATTTCGTTACCAGAAAAAACTAGATAAGGACTTTTATTTTATAATTTACTCTGGAAAGAACACTTACCCTAGTGCCTCCTATGTTTAGAATACTATTTGTATAGTCGATGTTTCTCTAATTAACAAGATGGAGTCACCCTAACGGGTACATCTTTCTGCCTCATATTTCCCGCTAAAATCCTATAAGAAAATCTGGCATGTCGCACCTAACAATGCAATAATGATATTAAGCTCATACCACTTGCACTGATTTCTTGAGTTATAACTATCATAATGTAAGATATACTAAATCCTTTGTGTAAACTCCTAAACTTTTACCTTCGCACACGTCATACCCAGGAATGCTGTTCAATCCACTACTTACTATAAAAGATTCTAGAAAAGATTCAGAAGAATACCTCTTTTGGAAAGAGAAAGCAAGAAGCCGAAACTTGGTGAATAGGAAAGAACTAACCTCAGATTCGAATTCCTCGACACCGAAAACCTTTTGGTCAACCCTTATGGGAAAAAATATTTTTGCAAAAAAAGTGATCCTTTGTCTTAAAAACCGGAACAAAAGCTTGTTATCAAAAAACTAACAACGGATTCGAGATCCTCGATCCCGATTACCCTTCGGTTAACCCTTATAAAAAATTTTAGTGTTTTAAAAAAATCGACCAATGGAATGATGTGAACGAACGAACATTAAATCATTCTGCGTATTTACCTTCCTTTCAGTAGAGGGAACATAGTATCTTTTCCACTGTGATCTGAACGTTTCTATATTTATCAAGAAGAAATTTGAATGTAATGTTTTAACAATAGGTTATAAAGTATTAAAATTGTTCTGTTATTTCAAATTTTAGATTGGAATTACTGAATCTATTGCCAAGAATTTGCAGTTGTGATACATTAAACGACATAATACAAAATAGAAAAGGTAGTATATAGAAAATATTAATTTATTGCTATTTTATTATACATAGATAAATCTAAACGGACAATAATTAAGTGAACACAATCTTCATATAAATACTTACATTTCTGCAGACTCAATGCATCATCTACCTGATTCGATATCAACCGCCTCAAAAGCCTGGTATATGTAAGTTTTCCGAAATGTAAAGGGGAACCTCTCGTTTATTTGTAAAGAAAGAAGAACTTGGAAACGAAAGCGAAGAGAAGCTAGAATAGCGAATATAGCTGTAAACACAACGAACGAGAACAGAATAGGTAGAAGTAGCACGAACGAACACATCACATACTCGCATATATATACATTGACGTATGTGAAGGAAAGGAAAATACCGTGAAAATGTATGGAAATGTCCATACATAAAATCCAAAATGACGTGGTGATTTTCCTTGATCAGATCCTGGCCATATTCGAAGACAAATCACCATCAGTACATATTTTTCTTTTCTCATCAATCACCATAAACAGCGCTCGTTGCCATCAAGATTAAACATAGTCATGCTTGCAATTCTCTGTAACTGCGCACTGAGAAAGAGTCAATCCTACTGAAATACTTTTACTACTATGAGACGATAAATGTAACTGATAGAAAGGTCGTAAACGAAAATGGATAGCTAGGTTATACGAATGTAGGAGATGAAACGAACTAATTGGTCGATTTTGGAAAAATAAATTAAGACTTGACCTTTGATCCTTTGTATCATACAATAGGTCATATAGAGATATATTTTCATATAGCTTTCTTTTCACTACACAACATAATTCTTCGAAAGAAGCGACAGAGAATCTAAGGAATAAGTGCTACTCATCTTTATCGACATTCTCATATATGGCAAGAAATCATCCACATGATTAAAACATCAGGAAACACACTGCATCCTAGTTAATTATCAAAAAGGGATCCATATGAGACTTTTCCAGAGTACAAATTTACATATCTATCGAAGTTTATGATATTCATTTCTGTTCCGTCTGAAAGTATTGATGAGGTAGACGAAATAATATTTTATTTTTTCTACCCTTCCATGTTTGACCATACATATCTTCTCTCTTACTCCTAACCTCAATTTTCAACGTTTCAGACTATTTGAAAGGAAATGTTTTTTTTTCATATGATCGTCCTTTTAGTCAAGAAAATGATATATAGATGTTTTTTTAGGATACATTTATGTTGGTCAAGACACCGAACTGTGAAAGTTGTGGGTTTACTTGCTTTCTTTACAAGTCTCGTAATGGTGATTGGTATATTGATAGTTTATTTTACTACACCAGCAGCTACTGGTATATTTCTTTTTATATGTATAGAATTCATACAAGGTCATATTAAAGATCTGTAATTAAACATTCAAAAGAGCATCAATGACTATTTCTAATCCAATAAATTAATCGAAACAATAGATGACTCGCTATATATTTAAAAGGGAAAAAATGGGAGATATATTGTATACCGTTATTAGTGCAGTACATATTTTTTTAATTGCGAACATATTCAGTGATGTCAGATTTAAAACGTAAATTCATCAATTTAATAGTTTTGACGACTTTACTAGTATGCATATGATCTTTACGTAAGCCATATTAATTTCATTGTCCGTAATCTGAAAGTGCTAGTTCCTATTAAAATTTATACAATTCACTAATGATTACTCAATCGACACAGATGCTTATTCTTTATTTCTTTTTCATTCTGCTATTTAGTTCCAACGTGTAGACTTAATTTTAATATGATGGTTCCAAATCCAGTTGAATATAAGAGTCTTCCGCGATTTGCTACCATGGGTGACTTTAACAATGATTCTCGACTAGATATTGTTGTTGTTAATCACGCTATTGACAATATAGCTTTGTACTTTGGATTTGGTGATGGTACTGTGGCAAATCCAATTAAGTACTTCACCGGCTCTGGTTCTGCGCCATACATGGCTGCTGTTGGCGATTTTGATAACGATTATCGACTAGATATCGCCGTCGCGAATTTCGGCACAAATAGCATCGGTATGTTTCTTAGGTTTCAACATGAATCTTTCATGAGACAAACAGTACTTTCACTCGCATCATCCCGTCCGATTTGGATCCATGCAGCAGATCTCAACAATGATGCAGCCCTAGATATTATCACGGCTAACTATGGAACACATTGTGTAAGCGTACTTTATGGATATGGTGACGGTAGCTTTTCAAATCCAAACGTGTATTCTACCGGCTATGATTCTTTTCCTGTTGCGGTTGTTAGTGGTGATTTTAACAACGACAAACAGTTGGATCTAGCTATTGCCAACTATGGTACAAACAATATTGGTATATTACTTGCAACTAATAAAACTACTTTTGCAGAACAAATAACATTTTCAACCGGTTCAAATTCTCATCCCTATTCGCTTATTGTTGGTTACTTTAATGACGACATCATGATAGATATCGCCGTCACTAACTTTGGAAATAAGAGTGTTGGAATATTTATTGGTCAAGGTAATGGAAATTTTATAAATCAAATGACATATTTCTTTGATGATGTTTCTCCATATTCAATCGGTACTGGTGACTTCAATAACGATCATCGAGCGGATTTAGTCGTTACTAATAAAGGTGCTCACAACATAGCTCTATTTCCTGGATATGGCAATGGCAAATTTGCCAGTCCAACAATGTTTTCAAGTGAATCTTCGTCAACCATCTCTATAGCTATCGATTATTTTAACAGTGATAATCGTTTAGATATTGTTGTCATCAACAATGACACAAGCACCGTACAAATTATGCTTGGGTATGATGAGTTTTTTCCAATTCAAACAACATATTGGACTGGCTGGGCACCAGCAGCTGTAGCTGTTTCTGATCTCAATAATGACAATCACTTGGATATTATTGTACCCAATGCCGGTGACAACAATGTAGGTGTCCATCTTGGATATGGAAATGGTTCTTTTGGTAATCAGACGACGTATTCCACTGGTTCTGGACCATACAATGTAGCTATTGGTGATGTTAACAATGACAATCATCTGGATATCATCGTAGTTAACTTAGACAGTAACAGTATAAGTATTTTTCTCGGATATGGAAATAGCACTTTTAACAATCAAACTATGTATTCAATTGGTAATGGGCCAATTTCTGTAGATATTGGCCATTTTAACAATGATTCCTATATGGATGTCGTCGTCGCTAATTCTTATGCCAATACTGTAAGTATCCTCATCGGATATGGAAATGGTTCTTTTAGAGATCGAACGGATTATGCAGTTGGTGCTAACCCATACGCTTTAGCTGCTAGAGATCTCAACAACGACACTTATTTGGATATCATTGTAGCTAATTCGGATAGCAATAATATAGGTGTCCTCCTCGGATATGGAAATGGTTCTTTTGACAATCAAATGACATTTTTAACTGACGTTACCCCGCAATCTATAGGTATCGCTGATTTAAACAATGATACTCATATGGATATCGTTACCGCTAATTTTTATGCCGATAGTGTTAACGTTCTTCTTGGGTTTGGGAATGGTTCCTTTGCAGATAAAATGTCATATTCAACTGATTCTCATCCTCAAACTGTAGCTATTTGTGATTTTAACAATGACACCTACTTGGATATCGTCACCGCTAACTATGGTGCCAATACTGTAAGTATCCTTATTGGATATGGAAATGGTTCTTTTGGAAGCCAAATGGCATTTTCAGCTGGAACTAATCCAATATATGTAGCTGTTGGTGATTTTAACAAAGACGCTCGACCGGATATCGTCGTTGCTAATTATGTTGGCAACAATTTAGGCGTACTACTTCGATATGATAGGGGAGCCGTAAGAGAGAAAATGACATTTGCATCTGCTGATGCCTCTAAAGTGCAAAGTGTTAATATTTTTGATTTCAATAATGATAAACGACTAGATATTGTCGTTGTCAATTCTGGTACTGATAACATAGGCGTTCTTCTCGGATATGGGGACGGTACTTTTCAAAATCAGATGATGCTTTCAACGGGTACAAAATCTCATCCTTACTCAATGGCAATCCATGATTTCAATGGAGATGGTCAAGTAGATATAGCAGTGGCCAATTATGGTACGAAAAATCTTGTTACATTTCTAGGAAGCAGAAATGGATCATTTGAAAATCAGAAGAATTACGTAGTAAATTTTGATTTCACTCCATTATTTATTACTGCCCGTGATTACAAAACAGATGGATCTACAGAACTTATTGTCGCCTATGATAGTACTGATTATGTAGATGTGTTTATGTCATATAGAATTTGGTCATTCGATTATTATAACAAATATTCAGCAGGGAGTCGCCCAGCTGCTGTCAGTATTGCTGACTTTAACAACGATCACCATCTCGATATGCTTGTATGTAACAATGGTGATGGAAGTATCTACGTCTTTCTTGGATATAGCAACGGCTCTTTCGTCTATCAAGCGACGTATTTAACTGGTTCGAATCCACGGAATATAGTTATTGGCGACCTGAATAATGATAACCATTTGGATATTATTGTAGCTAATACCGGTAGTAACAATGTAGGCGTCCTTCTCGGATATGGAAATGGTTCTTTCGCTGATCAAACGACGTATTCAGCTGGTTCGAATCCACGGAGTGTAGCTGTTAGTGACCTCAATAATGACAACCATTTGGATATTATTGTAGCTAATACCGGTAGTAACAATGTAGGCATTTTTCTCGGTTATGGAAATGGTTCTTTCGCTAATCAAACAACGTATTCAACTGGTTCTGGACCATATAGGGCAGTTATTGGTGACGTCAATAATGACAATCATCTGGATATCATCGTAGCTAACAGAAATAACAAAAGTATAAGTATTTTTCTCGGATATGGAAATGGCACTTTTACCAAACAAACAATGTATTCAATTGGCTTAAATCCGTATACTGTAGCTGTTTATGATCTCAACAATGACAATCATTTGGATGTTATTGTAACTAATTCGGGTGACAACAATGTAGGTGTTCTTCTCGGATATGGAAATGGTTCTTTTACTAATCAAACTATTTATTCAACTGGTTCCAACCCCGTGAGCATAGCTATTAATGACTCAAATAATGATAACTATCTAGATATTATCGTAATTAACTATGGTGACAACAGTGCAAGCATTTTTCTCGGATATGGGAATGGCTCTTTCAGAAGCCAATTAATCTATTCAATTGGTGTTAATCCAATATATGTAGCTGTTGACGACTTTAACAAAGATATGCAAATGGACATTGTTGTTTGTAATTTTAATGAGCGCAGCGTTCGTGTATACCTTGGACATGTCAGACAAAGTTTTGATCATCAAACAAAGCTCATGACTGGCTCTGGATCTCAACCTAGATCGTTTGCCTATGGAGACTTTAATAATGATGGCAAAATAGATATCGTGGTAGCGAACTCAGGTAGTAATAACATTGGAATTTTTATAAGATATACTAGTTTTTCATTTGGAAATCAAATAACGTATTCAACTGATTCTTTTCCATGGTCTGTAACAGTTGCTGATGTGAACAATGATACTTTTGCTGATATTGTTGTGGCAAATAGTGGCAATGACACTGTTGGTATATTTCTTGGATGGGGGAATGGTTCCTTTTCAAGCCAAAGAGTGTTTGCTACCGGTTCCAAATCTCAACCGATCGCAGTTGCTGTCACTGATTTCAACAACGACAGATTACCAGATATTGTCGTTATCAATTATGGCACAAACAGCGTCGGTATATTACCTGGCTGCGGAAATGGTTCCTTCACGGATGTAAAGAGTTTTCCAGTAAGTTACGGATCTCGTCCAATCTCATTTTCTGTTGGCGACTTGAACAATGATGGAAAGCTGGATTTCGCTGTCGTGAATGAAGGACTTGATAATGTAAATGTTTTCTTACAGACTTGCTGACATTTGAATTGCTCTACTATCAGTATTTTTCATTGCTTTATGATTTTTGGATTTTAAACTTTCAAGTGTATGTTTGTTAAAAACTAATAAAGAAGAAAGGTGGTGGTTTTGCTTATTATATAACTCAAAATAAACTACATGATGTAACTTTTTGAATCCATCACTTATAACGATAATCGATTAAAATTAACATTCTAAAAATTAGTGTTATTTTAAAACTTTTAAATTTCATTGACGAACCGTTCATTCTCAAAAGAGATATAATTGCCTTAGAATTAAATTGGCAAACCAGATCACTGAATAACTGTAATTTATACAGAATTATTTAATTGATTCTATAAGCCGGCCTAAACGCGCGTAACACAATGACGTTTTGGCCAGAGTGTACACATCTTTTCTCATAAACTAATGTCGTTAAAAAATTTCTTTTTTCGCCAAAATATGTACCTCATAGTCATCTATCACGTCTAAAAAAATCAGCTCGTTTGAATGCGCCGTTCAAGAATTATCGCTAAAATGCATGTCATAACACGATGATGAAAGAAGGACAAAGTTCTGATAGTGCTATACTTTGCTATTTTTCTACGAATCTATGATACATAAAATGAGACATTCATTGTGTTGATGACTGTTTTCCTCTTTCTTTCTTTTGTCTTTCTATTCCTGTCTATGCACGTGATTCGATGTACTGGCGACTATTATACATATATGTTTAGTACATATGTATATAGGTTGTTCTC